CAGAATCAAAGAGGGAAATTGTTTCAAAACTATGTAGATAGAATATAGTCGATCCTACCAATTCTATATGAAGGCGTCTTTAATATTTATATAGTCCAATGTATGGTTGCTTGTAATCTGAAAATTCGCTAAGAAACATTTTGATTTTGATAAAATTTTTATTCTTTATACCAGTTATATATATTTTTAAAAAATATAATTATATGTAATGGATGATATTCCAAGTTTAAAGATTGAAAATATTCAAAGCAACAAAAGAAGGCATGAAGAAAATGAATATGAAAACAATAAAAAAGTCAAAAATATTTTAAAAACTCCAACTTTGTTCGATTGCGATATTAAATTTAGTGACCTAGAAAAAATAAGACGTATAGCAGCAGGAGGCTTTGGGGTTGTTTATGAAATGCTATGGAACAAAGGAAATGACAATGAACAAACAGTAGCAGTAAAAGTTGTTGATAATGCAGATACTCAAGAATCAGAGAGAGATTTTAAGCGTGAGGTTTGTTGTTATACTATAGTATATGATCTTAAAAATTTGCTAGTGATTTTAGTTGAGATATAAATTTCATAGAAAAACTAGTGGTTCATTCTGTTCTGAAATTAAAAAACTTCAGAAGTAGGGATGGTAAAAAAAAAACAGATTTAACTATTTTTCGTAAAGCAGGTAATGATTAAAGCCCGAATAGTTAAATCTGGATTTAAATATAGTTAAAATCATCACCTGTTTTAATTATGTAATAAAAAGCTTTTGCCATCCTTATTCAGAAGTATTAAATGAAAAGTGTAGCAACTAAGTTATTTGTTTTTTGAACATATTCCAGGTAAATACTTTGAGGGAATCTCGATATTGTAAAGAATATATTATACAGTTCTACGGATTGGCACAAGGTAAATGTTTTGATATACGTTGTGCACATTCAAAAACGTTCTATATCTCTTGCAAAATATGCATATTTTCCTTAACATGCACCGGAACAACTCTAAAGTTTCGCTCGTAATTGTATAGTCTACTGTACTTTAGGTTAAATTTGGCTCTTTATCGATTGACTGGATCGATTTTAAATTTTGAAATTTATCTTTACAATTAAACTAATTTCAGTGAAAATTTTATCCAGCTATCATTAAAAAATGAACTTGTAGAGATTGGTACTAAAATAGTTCAGTGGTTTAATTCAGAAGATAGAATAGTTCCTGATAACATCAACATAATTCAGTCTAGAATAATTGGATAAATTTAAAATCTAACCTAATTCTAGAGTCTGCGTCAATTAAGTAATTCTTCAATCACGTGACCAAGGAATAACTTGTCAATTCAGTAATTGAGTTTAATCATTTGTTTTGATTTTCGGACTGATCCGGGATTG